TCAACTTAATGTGGAACTGAAGCCAAAACTTTTTTTCCAGTTTTGGATAGCGTAATTGAGGGTTATAATCTGTCCTGTCTAATCTCCTCTAAATTGCAGGGTGCTTCTCCCTGGAGTGTCCTGCTGTTATCTGAACCTAGTGCGGCTGTGCGAGTCTGCCTGAACATCCGCACTAAATTTAAACAACAGTATGCTTCAGGGAGAAGAACCCTGGTCACCATACTTTTAGCCATACATCCTTTAGCCCCATAACAGATGGTCCAGACCTGGGGCAGGGATGTAAGCAATGCAGGAGCCTCTGAGTTGGACTGCTCATAGTTGCAATCCTCTGCAGGGTTCAATGCAAAACTTTAATACATCATTTTTTATTTTATTAATGTGGGTGTATTTGAAAACATTTTTGCAAACAGTGGACTATGCACTGATTAAGGGTGTGAGGTTCAGCCCCTGAAATGTGCTGGCTTTGTGTCCATCTAACATGCCCAAGGTGTCCATCTTTGTGTCCATCTAAGATCCCTGCCATCTAATTTTATGTTGTATAAATGTAAAATCTTGTATCTTGGCTATAATATCAAGATGCTGTGGTGCGAAGTTCCAGATTTACTTATCCCCATCACAACAAAAAGTGACCATAGCTTTGATGACGCATGTGATGCATATTTAATCCAGAGGAATGAAAAATTCACATTTTGAACTTTGTGAGAGCTGGTGATCTTCTATTCAACACTTTGAATTGCACGGCGCCATCCGTGCTCATCACTGCGAGCACCGCGACCGTGGAAGGTTATAACGCTGTATGGAGTGCAGGTGATCTACTACAACACGACATGGAAATCCTCTGGTGTGTAGAAGCCGCCAGCTCATTATCCAGACACCCTATACCGACACCACCTCCATACTATTGGAAGGTAATAAGAACATCTCAGGGTTCCAGTACTACTTATCCACTCCCCAAGCAGCCAAAACTTCAGAGGTTCTAATTCTAACCCATGCTACAAAAAGTGTGTTTTAATACTTTAAGCCAAAACTTTTTATTTATTTGTTTATTTTGGTTAGGTCAGGGAATGATTGAACCCCTTGTCTAAATATTTTTTTTCCCCACCTTTGTCCCATAACAGGAAGTGAGAGGAAATCCCTGGTGGTCAGCAGGGTCACCAGAACAAGTGTACATATAGGAAGATTTCCCACCTATTCCTGTTCTGATTCTGTTTTCTTTTACTTTCAGTGATAACGCCCAACAAGGCAAATAGAGAGAGTGAATCTCCCTAACGGGGACACAGACAGCAAAAAAAACTCCCTCTCCACTCCATCCAAAACTAAAAAAAAGTTTGGGCCGCTTTACTTGTTTTTTAATAGTTTGTCTTTTGTATTTAAAGGGAACCCTTTTACCATCTGGAATAAAAGTGGATAAGAAGCCCTTGAACTGACATTGCCTGTAGACTTACTGACCTGTCTGTGACTTCACATGTGCTTGGACTGTTAACACTGAGATCCCTGCCATCCGATACTCATCTCTCAAAGGGTAATGTGGTGGTCAGATTTTGTATTATTTTGTTGTACAGCTGCCATTAAACTGACAAGTGGGATTATAACAGGACTCCAAGCTAACAGCTAAATACACAGATGACATTCAGATAAACTGATCTATTTTACATGACAAGGGATTTACACAGCACTATAACGTAGCACATCCGGGCAGGTGACACCACTTTTCTCTTTTACAGTTATAGACTGTAGATGGTATACAGTGGCGTCCTCTCGCCACCCCCAGCCTGCTGAATAGACAGTGAGAGAGCAGCAGATCATCTTTCTGCTCACTCTGCTCCTTCCTCCTATCAGTATGTCTTTTGTTGAAACACATGCATGCAGCACACTTGATTGACAAATAGTGCTGCCTCTCCCACTTACACTAGTCGCATGTAAATAACACATTTAATAATTTGGCAATGAATACCTAGCTGCAATAATCTGGGTCTTTTATATGTGTCTGGAGTTTAGCTTTAAAGAGGAAATCTGGGCAGAAATTGTATTAACCCTTGCAGTGGGGCTACCCCGGCACTGCAAGGGTTAACTGCTCGTTTTTTGCCCAGGGTAAAAAAAAAAAAGAAAAATTAAACTTACCTGATGATCCTCATCCTTTTTCTCCTCCACTGCAGTGATAGTATGTCCCTCGGCGTCCTCACATCCTATACACTGTATTGAACGTGATGATTCAAGGATTGCTAGACCGCTGCAGCAGTGGGGGAGAGCTGCTCCATGGACCTGTATAAGAGCTGGCCGACTCAGAGGAGCAGGTGAGTATAACTCAAAAAAATGAGCACTTAAGCCTTGCAGCGTGGGGGGAGCCCCATTGCAAGGGTTAATAACATGTCTGCCCGGAGTTCCTCTTTAAATGTGCTTCTGTTAAAGCGTATCTAAACCCAAGAACAAGAATGTACTATATTGCAGGTCACCAGGCCTTAAATGTGGTGGCTGCATGAGTTTTCTTTTTTCAGACCTTCTTCCCTTTTCACCTGCTGATCCTGTCACTTCCTGTCCTAGAGTGACAACACTCCCTCACTGTACTGTATCTGTTGAGGAGCAACGTCACCATAAGCAAGATTTATACAACACTTTCCTCTATCCTCTCCTCCATAACATACGGGGGAACACTGTAACACTGTAACTGAAGAGAGCGCTGTGCTCTTAACAGGCAGAGAGCCCAGAAGTTATCAGATCGAAAGACTTCCGGCAAGATTTCGCACTTGTCAAAGATCTAGAACAAAATGCTTTCAATGGTTTATTTAAAGCAGATCTCTTGGGAACGTATTAACCCTTGCAGTGGAGCTACCCCCACACTGCAAGGGTTAACTGCTCGTTTTGGTCTAGGGAGGAAAATAACAAGGTATACTCAGTCGATCCCCAGAGCCGGTTGGCTGTGACAGTGCTCCCTCCAGCCTGTCTCCTCTTCTGCGGCAGTGATGGTATGTCCCTCAGCATCCTCATGTCCTATACACTGTGTATAGAATGTAATGACGCACAGA